AGGTTCCAAGCTATGATCGCCATGACCTCAAAATCACTGGAAAAAGTGCTGAAGCAATGAAACCCCGTGCCATCACAACAATCAGGAACGTAGCATATACCGAAGAAAATTCATTGCTACGGTGATGTTCCATGTTGGGATCCCCAGTTGTTAAGAGTTGTCACATGCTGGCACAGGTTTCAAATCACGCAGTACCGCCGTCAGCTCCATTCAGGTCCAATGGTTCCTGAACAAGGCTCTTGAAGAGGATGCGGACATAATAGCTACATTTGCAGCAATTAGCAAAGTGTTGCAGGAGGCAACACGACAATACTGTGAAGAGGATGGTGACCGAGTACATGGTCACTTTGAGTTTGATTTAGGATTTCTTGATCCAATCAAGATTTCCGATGAAAACCCAATGGATGAATCTGGGTCAGATGCAACCACTGAGCGTTTAGGTTAGTTTCTGATATGTCAGCATGTCAGCACGGCGCACGGCTGTTGGGTCGACGAGTGAGCTGGAAGCTTGTGGAAAAAACGGGAAATTTTATGGACTGAAACCAGCAATCAGCTTTTGATTTTGTTTCTCTCATTGTATCCCCTAGCATTCTTTGATCAACATGAGCTGTAGAAGCATGTAGAAACCATCGAACTATGTGAACAAAAATCATATATACATTTATTTTTCAAAATTAATAGCATACATATGATTTACATTTGACATTTTTATGACAGTACACTATGACAGTATACATCGACACAACAGGACTTTGACAACATATATCCATCACATGGCGCGGGAGTACTCCCAATTCATATCCATTTGTACCCCTTTTTTTGCCACTGCCGCCATGCCTTTAGAGTCCGTTGATGAACTTTCTGAGTTGGGGTCCCAGAAACATTGGCAGTTACTTTGAGAAGTTGAACGGAACCATTGAGTCTATTCAAACAAAACCATCACGTGTCGTATGATCTAAGTTTCGATATGGATGTGCCATGTCCTGCACAAGCTGGGCCAGGTTCTTATTTACAAGTTTCATCCAGTTTAACTGCAAACGTTCCCAGCGCCAAGCCGCGCCTAGGCTTCATGATGATCCTGAAGTGGCCTCGGGGGCCAAGCTGCCATGTCTTTCTTGTCAGAAAAAGGTTCTGTTTTAATTTCTTGTTAATGACAGGTTGGCCGTCTGCCAGCCAAAGATGGACCAATTCGACTGCACAAACCTTGGTTCCTGCCCCAAAAGGAGTGGATTCCCCACGAGATTCGGTTGGATCTCTGGCCGCATTTGTTAGAGATAGATCTTTGATTCCCGTTGTTAAACCATGCTTAGGTTTAGATAGTAATAAATTTTGAATTTGACCGCCCAGGTACCACCAAGGAATCCGAAAGCTGGTTCCAAGTTGCCCTTGAAAGGGAAGTTGATCACCAAGCCCATTACTTTGAGATCTTTTGGTACCATCAGTCTTGCCCTCAGGTCCCCACCAATGATTTGACATGATTTCATACAGGTTGCGCTGCCTGCGCCCAGGACTCTTTGGATCCACCGTGCAGGCCAACCCGAAGTTTCTTTCAAAGCGTGGAAGTGGAGTCGCTTTCTTCAATTGGTTGTTTCGAGGATTTCAACATTAGCAGTGAGAAACCGTATCAACCAAGAAATGAATGCATCTTTGATCCAAGGATTGTGCAAATCAGATCTACTGGTGGCAGAAATATGCCAATGCATGCAAGTTGAAGAATGTCCCAAAGGGCATTTATTGCCGCCCGTCGACGGGGGAGCACATGTCTGGCAGGGGTCCCAAAATGCCTAGAATTTGATTCAGCTCTAGAATTTGATTCAGCTCTTTTTCGTCATCACATCCTGACCGGCACCAGCGTCCCATTGGATGGACATCCCCAAAGCCTGGGAGTGTGCGGGACGATCTGATGGTAATTTACCCGTGGCTTCAGTCAAGTTCCCAGGAGACAAGTCATCCTTGACCTTTGATATGGATGGCAATGATTTTCTTGTTTCTTTCTGATGCTGCAGCTGCTTTCACGGAGCAATGATTTTGAATAATAAGCGTCGCAATATGTTTACATATACATGCGTGTACATAATATATATATATATATCTCTCTCTCTATATATATATATATATATATTAATCCGAATTATCTATATACATTGACAAACGGATCATGTCATGTATAGATTTTTGATCTGCTACTGAGCTCTCGCCTTTTCTTGAAGTTCATACCACAAGTTTGCTCAGGTTATCAAAAATCCAGTCTTCCCATTTCCAGGAGCGAAAGAAAGTTGCATCGCTCTTTTCGGGCGTACTGGGATTCGAACTAGGACTGCGACCGTGCAGCACTCAGCCTGGGAAAAGAGACATTACTTTCAGCTTGACCAAATCAATCAATACATGATTCTAGCACATATATTTAGATAGATAGATAGATAGATAGGTAGATAGAAAGATCGATAGATAGAAAGATCGATAGATAGAAAGATCGATATAGAGAGATATAGATAGATATAGATAGATATAGATAGATATAGATAGATATAGATAGATTTAGATAGATAGATCAATATATATATAGATAGATATAGATAGATTTAGATATAGATATAGATATAGATATAGAGATAGATAGATAGATAGATAGATAGATAGACAGAAAGAAAGATAGCTAGATAGATAGACAGATAGATAGAGATAGATAGATAGATAGAAAGATAGATCGATAGATAGATAGATAGATAGAGAGAGAGATAGAGATAGAGAGAGAGATAGAGATAGAGATAGATAGATAGATCGATAGATAGATAGATAGATAAATATATATATAGCTATATCAATTCGAAATAAACTCCATCAAACTTTCTTCAAACTTTGCAAGGTTTGTGGAGGTAGCAGCCTATGTCGGGCCCTCAAAGATTCAATGATTTCACACTGATATACACAAGTTCTGAGCCATTATGTGATATTACCACATCTCAGGTGGAACAATCGGAATTTTGCCGTCGGGTCATCCAAGCTAGAATCCAAGACAAATTAGCAGACCCTGGGGTGATTCTGGATGACATTACCACAGTCTCCGGAAGCCAACTCGGCGATGACATCGAAGGATGTCTGGCTGGGTTTCCATGCCAGGCCAGGGTCAACGGGTATGATCAAAGGTTGTTCCGCATTTCTTTCATGGCCAGGATATCTCCTTGGCGGGCAACCAGTCTTCCATGCAGGGGACTCGCACGGTGCTAGTCAGAGAGATTTTCAGAATTTGGGATGAGAGAAAAACAAGTGGCCGCCCCATGAACCTGGAATGAATGATTTTTTCATATTTTTTCTTTGTTTTGGTGGATTATGGTCGAAACTCTGCTTCAAACTTTATAAACAGTTCTTGGCATGTTAGTGCAGTTAGTGCTGAGGAAATTCTTACTGTTGGAGAACGTGGGAAGCATCCTTTCTGCCAGCTGCCGTGATTGCATGGACTATATCATGGAGGTTTGATCACCCACTCCCTTAAAAAAAATCAGTGCTTGCCAGTGAACACTCGCAGGCTGCCAGCGAACGTGGCCTCAGAGTTTCCTGGAGTTCGGTCACTGGCCATGATGTTGGAGCACCCGTTGGGAACTTGGGTTTTGAGTTGTCACCAGAAATTCACACAATGATCTTGCAAGAAAAATCAATTTAGTCGACTTAGATTTCTCGCCAACGTGTATTCTTCCTGCTGGCGGCTCCGGGATACAACTTTTTTGAGGACTGGTTTTGAATGAAAGATTGCTCACATCATGTTGAAAAATTGCTGCCACTGGGAGTTCCGGGCTGTTCCGGCCAGAACCAGAAGCTCCTGCCCGTCGAGTTTTTGAAATCATGGCCGCAAAAGCTCTGGATGAAATCACAAAAGAAACCGCCACTACATGAATGGCTCATGAGAGCCCGCTGTGAAGACTATAAACATAGAATGAATGCCATTGGCAATATCGTCGTGCCAAGCATGGCGTTCTTTGCTATGCACAAAATCCAATCGATGTGGGTTTGAACAGTTACCAAAACTGAAAATTCATAATTTATTTTGGGTTCATGGTGAATTTCGCCATCACCCTCCTGCCTTCCTCTGAGCGCTGCGCTGAAGCTGCTTTGGACAAGATCTCAGATTCGGACCAAGGGGTGTTTGAAAATGCTTGCTTTGGAAGTGTAAGCATGTATTCAGTGCTGTGGTAAAGAAAGCATCGTTAGATTCAAAACGTAAAAGGATTGTGTGTTTGTCCAGCACCCTTTTGGCTTTGGCGTCGGGGAGACGTCGCTGCTCATCACCGTGACACCGGCATGTTTATTCATGATGTTTCAATGTATAAAGAAGATATACATTTGGTATGATACATGCAAGTCTTGTCAAAAAAATTGAAAAATTCCCCTGAGGAACATATCTTTCCACCACCCTCCTGGACCAATGTTCTTGCCCGCTGCTGTGTGAAGCTGGTTGTCCAAAGACAGCAACACAGTGGGATTAGCTCAAAAACTTTCACAGTGCATGAGATATAATGGGCTCATACGGAAATATACGGAACAAACACTGATCCGAAAAGAAAGGAAATACCGCTGATAGAAATACAGCTTTAAGAAGGGGCTTAACATCAACATCCGTTTTGTTGCAACTAGGGCCAAGCGTTTTCCTTGGGTTGCATGGGTGGTGTGGTCGTTCCGAACCTTCGTTCTTGCAGGAGTGATGTTTTCTTGTTTGAGTCCATCAAAGTCCAATGCCGGAAACCTTTGAAATTAATTTTTTTGTTTCCAATGACCTCTGTCAGGAGACAGCCCTGTCCACATCTCCGTCTCCGACTGCAGGACTGTGCTACCGTGCAGGACTGGATGTGCAGGCTTTTCCTGATTCCAAGACAAGATAGACAAGTGCTGTCAATCTTTCAATCGGTTTGAAATTTGTTGATGATACATGATGGTCCTGGTAGTAAGATGTAAAATGTATTCAAGCTTCGCATATTCCCACTAGCAACAACATCGAGCCAGTCAGGATGCCAGCCCTGGAACCCATAGATGTTTTAAGTGACGATGAGAAGCTGAACGAAGCCACAGCACCGGGGTCCCAGCCGAAATCTTTGGGTCGTCCACTGCATCACCAAAGGTTTCAGCCTCGTCGGGCCCGCTTTGCTATCAGAGCGGGTCAAAAGCATTTGGGCCCATGTGATGATCCAAAACATTTGGCAAATCTTATTCGGAGGACTTGTGGCTGTCAGTGTGACTGCTTTGCATCCTTCCGTAGACATGACACTCTTCTGGCGGAATGGATGAAGCTTCGGAAGATGCTCAGAAAAATGCGCAAGTTGGAGAAAGATGACTATGTCAGGGTCTTACAATTTGAAGCTTGATACAGTGATATACAGGGTTACACCATACAATTATCTTACAAATACCTTGATCATATCATGCTAGACCATATCCCTCGAGGTGTTCAAGCTCCTAAAAGCACAAGATCCCGATCCCAAGAGAGGAGAACGGCATCTGAAGCTGCTGGGGCGCCCGGTCTGCAACAGAGCCTTTATGATGCTGCTTGGAGTTGGCACGGGTCGCTTCAGCACCTTGAGCTCTGCTGCACGTCGTGGAGAAGAGTTTTGCCCCTATGATGGTCGGTTTGTGCCCCGAGAAAAAAAGAAACCTTCAGAATCTTGGGAGAGGGTTCACTCTTTCTTGACCCAAATGTACATGGAAACAGCAGAGCACATCCCTGATGGATTGAACAGCAACAAAAGGCCCCGTCATGGTGCTAAGAAGCTGGATTCACATGATCTTGACCGGAGCCAGATCAAGCATTTACCATATGGTACAATAAACGATTACTGGAACCAATGCGTGGCTGCAAACCCTGGTGTCAAGATCAGCCGGAAACTCTTTTCCTCAGAGACTTTGCCAGCCATTTAACTTGAATTTTTGAATTATGTGTTGTGCTGGAATGGTGCCCCAGGTTATATGTACGTATTTTTCCAGCATTTCTCTGGAATAAGAGCCTGGGTCTGGCAGTCTGACTTTGAGGGTCTCCTGAGGATCCGCTTCTATTCACATCACTCCAAATGCAGCTTATGTATAAAGCACCGACTGCTGATCAAAAAAATAGGACATTGTCCTCCCGCCAGGCGGGCGCAACATGCAATGTTGCAGAAGCATCTTGATCGACAACATCGAGACAGACAGGTTTACTACGCTGCCAGGGCGAGGTCAAGATTGGGGGCAACAACTTTGGGTGAAATTGAGATCACTGCAATCCTAGATTCGATGGGAAACCAAATGTATTCTTGGCCCCGAAGCCCATGTATGTCCAGCAAAGAGTTTGGGTCTTTTCACAGGCCACCACTTACAGCAACTGGGCTTCTTATTCATGGCCATTTGGCAATGATGGCTTTGTCTCCCAACCTGGTGACATCTGGCAGCAGCCGGACGGCAGAGGTCTTGTGCGCTGGCCTCACAAAGCTGGCAGACAAGCTTGATTTCAGAAATGTTTGGATCAATCTCCAAGCAGATAATTGTTCCAAGGAGGTCAAAAATGTTGGGGTCTTAAGGGTCTTGGCCCTATGGACTGCTTTACACAAGGTACGGGGGTGTGAGGTCAGCTTTTTGTCCTCGGGCCATTCTCACGAGGACATTGATGGCCTGTTTAATCTGATTCGGGCCCACATCGAAACCTACAGGGAACTTCTAACACCCTTGGACTTCAAAAACTGCATCCAGGCTTTTTTGGATAAGCCTGCGACCCGGCCATATGAACCACTTAGATGTGTTGAGCTCCTGACCCGCTACAAAGATTGGATACTTGTTGAATGTTGGATGGATTTGGATGGTTGATTCTGATAAACTTTGTGATATTTTGTGTTGTTTTGAGCCACTTGGAGTTAACACCCCAAAAATGTCTTATGCATGAAACCTTACTAAGCCAAATTCAATTCATGTTACCCCAGCCACTCCAAACTTGCTCAGGACCAACTGGCTCTCGTACCACTTCGAGCATGCCAAGTTCAGCGGGATCGGAGGCCCAGGTGCACCTCACAGCTTCCGGCTTGAGCGCATTGGATCCACAGGACGGCGCTTTAAATGAAAACATATGAAAACATTCGAACCTTATTTTCTGAAGTTTGATCTATAGCATTGAAATTCCTTGTATTCCTTGTAGGAGTCACCCGAGATCAAATCGATTCCAGCTTTTGGGACCGCAGAGACTACACAGAAAGCTCATCCGATGTGATTCTCAGGACAGATTTGTGCCAAGGAAAATAATTGAAACTTCTTTGAACATATTTGAAAGTGCTTGTTTCTCTTCCATTCAGTTGGATTGGCTATGATTGGCTGTAGCCCCAGGACAAAACAGTGGATGAGTGACGGCACTTGGCAGCCGAGCATTCTTCTGTTTCTGCCAGCCTCAGTGGCGCAGCGGGCACAGGGTGATGCCCCCCAGGCGAGATTTCAAGTGTGAAGCCGTCTGCAACACCTGGTACTTCCCTTCAACAGTACCCACAATCACTTTAATCATTATGTTCTGCCTGCAGCCTTTGTGGAAAAGCCGGTGAATTCCCAGTCCGATGAGAACAAGTCTTTGAGGCGCTATGCTTCCCTAATGCGTTCAATCCTGAGGGTGAAATTTGATTTCAAACAACATACATACAGAATCATACAGACACCTTTGAGACCTTGAGGTGGGTCTTTAGGGCTTGAGACCTTGAGGTCGTGATCCCTTTGACATGCACGCAGCGGCTCAACAGTTGGAGGATTTGTCCTATGGTTTCCTCGACCCTGGCTTTCTGGACACAAGCTGGTGCGCCTTGCAACATACATAGAATTGAATACTATACAATTGTTTGAATATCTTTTACAATCACAATCTCATTTATAGAAGTGCCTCTTGTTTCCAAAACTCCATCCTCATTTTCCCTTGAGGGCTTTGCCGCATTGTGGAGCAGCAGTCGGCCGATCAGCCTGGCCCACCGTGCAAGGGAGGTGTTTGGAAGCAGTCTGATGCTCAAATTGTGTTTTTCATTCCACCGTATCTGTAAAGTATTCAACATATTGAACATAACACAGACTTGTGTTGAGGCACCCAACCAGCTCCGGGTGGTGAGAGGACGACCATCCGCTGATGAGGATCGTAGGTACAGAAATGCCCGTGGCCAACAATCACTTTACAAAGCGGCATCCCGGTTGTGGATGAAAGGGATGAACATAGCCGAAGCCATCCAAATTGTTTCTGAGGCTGTAAATGAGTCGATGCATCAGTAGTGTTGCAGGGGAAATGCAACCACTTTATGGGTGGGTCCCAATGACTAATGAAAATATCATGATACGATGTCCGTCTTTGAAATATTTGGAAACCAACTCAAATCTATCTAATGTTGATGTATCAGAAAAAGAGTCTGGGGCCCGAATGATGCTATCACACCTGGATCCAGAATGGACGCCAGCCATTTTACAAAGCTATGGATGGAACATGATGGAGCGGTGGAACAGAAAAAATGTTAGCCTGTTTTGTGCATGGTGATTTGTGCACAAACTGGGGCACCTCATTCCCCCCCGGGATTTGTGCGTGATCGGGTCGGGATCGTGCACAAAACCTTAGGATCCACACTGAACCCAACAGTTTCTGTCAAGCCTGTCCCCTGGAAAAGTATGACATCACTGGGGGATCAATGGTTTTGTGCATGATCGGGTCGGGAGTGGTCCAGTGACGGGTTCAGTTTGTGCATAAACCTTGGTGCACAAACCCAGCCTTTCATATTGACAATTGAGATCCATTCATGCTTCCATCCACCCTTTAATAATATTGAATATGTTTTCCGTTTACCAGCCAAGCCTCGTGCCAGGTGATGACGAAACGCAAGGTGTCTGGTGGTGGCGGTGCACCTGCAAAGCCGAAGGCCGCCAAGAAGGGTGGCACCGCCAATATTCCTGCTGATTCGTTGAAACTCCCGCACATCAGACTCTTTGATGACTGGGCGTCACTTTTCAGCATTACTCGGTGTTTTGCCAAAATCATTTGACTATTGAACAATGTTTCCTCAATACAATATGTACAATCGATACGGCTAAGGCAGGAGAATTTGGTGAAGGTCAAGAAGACCCTCGATGTTCTGCTCACTGAAGAACTACGTGATGAGGACACTTCAACCATTTTCTAAAAAAACACTATGAGTGGTGTCCCAACTGTCTTTTGAATTTTCGGGTGACCACATTTGGCCCACTCTGGAGGACGCAGAGAAGGCTTTTTACGAATGGATTGATGTCCAGTTCCCCGCCGATCCTGCTGTGTCTGGGTCTTATGGCACCTTCGAGTTTGCCACCAGCTGACTCTTGACCGTTTAGCGCCCAGGACCTACAGCTCTGAGGGCGATTTGCAAAGGGATGGCAATTCTTTGTTTCTACGACCTTGGCAACTTCCCCACAGGGTGGACTATGGGTTGCGTGGAACATGCGATGGAGACCCTTTTCATGAAATCAGTGATTAGCAAGATTATTTCAAAGAAATTGGTGCAGCCATGTTTTGTTTAATCAATTTTAATCATCATCATCCCTGACTCAGACATGACCAGCTAAGGAAGTGCAGCACCAGTTGTGCCAGCTCCAGCTCTTGAACGGGCTGATGACAAACCCCAACATCCCAGGGGTTGAGAAGTTGGTGACCTGCCCAATTACCGATTCCTGGATCCATGGCAGCCCCACCAAATTGAGAGCCGACGATGTGGGGGCTCATGGTTTGGTATCACCTGGTCGCCTCTTCATGGTGAAGGGCTACAACCGATGCCTTGCAGCCCTGGGAATTCTATGGGCAGCCTACAGAGAGCCAGCTTTGTTGCAGGAGAGGCTACCACCAAAACATTTCATTACATCCTATTTCATTTCATAGATTTTTATATTTGCCTCCCATTCCATAAAATTTCACATCCCAATCCCATGTCTCGGGCACCTGGAAGGAGATGCCAGATGCTGTGCGAAAGTTCCCTGGAACAATTGTGATTTTTCACGATCTTAGTTGACTGGTACTAAAGTCTTGCAAGCAATGACCAATGGATTACCAACAATGTCCAATGTCTGTTTTCTTTTGAGGTCTTTCTGCGTTGTGTATGCCACAGCAGTGCCAGCCGACAGCTCACTCGTTGTCAACACCAACAGGGGTCACCCAGCTGCATTCATTTTGTATTCCATGGATTGTGGAAAGAACCATTGAGAATTGGAAACCTTGTTATTCTTGAATCATCTTAGGAGTGACGATGAGTGGCCAGTTGCGCCGCCGCCCAAATGCCTTCAACCTCTTGCACCAGCTGGAGTTCCTGGAGAGGACGGGGATGAGTCAGGAAATGACCGTCAAGTCTCTTCAGGTGGGGAAGGGTCGTGGGCAGTTGAATTGAAGTCAGCTATTTCAAAAAATAAATTAGATTGGACAGTCAACACACCATCATTCCACCATCAGGCTCATGAGTCTGTGTCTGCATTTGCCAAAGCCTATGCCCTGGGGGAGAAAGAATCAGCAGCAGCAGTGAACCTCTTGCAGCACATCCCCCCGAACGTCAAAGAGGCTCTGACAGAGCTTGTTCGGACCCTTGGAACAAAACCATAATTTCCCAATATTTCCCCATATTCCCCATGATTTATATGGGATAATGTGGACTATCTGGAAGCTTTATATAACCCATCACCGTTCACATCCGATCCTGAGGGTGCATACTCAACCCAAGTTCGTGAACCACGATGGACTGGCTGAAGGGTTACTCAACCACGGCCATTGCACTGCAAGCGGGTTCTTGATGCCATGGAAATTGCATTTGACGAACAGTCATGGCCTTTTGACCACCATGATTTCACGAATGGAGTTGGATTGGATTTCAACAGCACCGAAGATGCGGAAGGCTTGGAACGTCAAAGATCTGGAGCCCTAGTTGACTTTGGTATTTTTTGGCAGGTTCCCCAAATTATGTAAATGATGCTTTTTATACTTGGATGTTGACTTCTATACTTTTTCACCATCATCAGTTGAACTTCCAAGACCCAACTGCAACGAGTATGTGGTGGATTCCTGGCATGCTTGGAACACTACCGGACCCTGGTCCCTCAGAAGTTTCATGATGCTTCCCTGCCCGAGATCAACAAGGCGTTGCTAGTCAGAACCAGTAGAGTAATGATTTATGGTTTTGGATTTATGATTATGTTATGTATCTTGATGTTTGTATAAAACACTCTATGTATTTAGATTTATATTTGCTTTTATGGTTCTACTTGTTGTTTGGTGATAGTCCAACTAGTCACACCGAGAAGACCAGAACCCTTCCCGCATCCGCTGCCAATCCTTGATGAGGTTTGAAATGAGGCATGGAGATGCCGATATCCTGCAGCTCCTGGAGTCAACGGTGCCCCCAGCGGATGTGACCCGCGTGGCAATTTTTGCCCAGCCATTGGTGCGCTACAACAAGGAGGTGGGGTCCACGTGACAACCCTTCTTTTGCACACCCGCATTTTGTATTTCATTTTTCCATCATGTGTTCATAATAAACCAACTTTAATGTGGCATCCTCAGGTGGAAAAGCAAACCCACATGAAGGCAGAGCAGCTCTTTGTCAGCACTAATCAATCAGGCTGCATACATTGTTGATGGGACAACCACTTGTTTTATAGTTCCCCCTTTTTTGATGTACTGTTTTTTCATGTTACAACCAGGTTGTCCGCCCAATTGTTGCATACCACTTGGCAACAAACCGAACTTCAGTGTCAAAGTGATCTGGCAAAACTGCGTGATTGGAGCCACAAGTTTGATCTGTATGCCACCAAGCAGGTCTGGATGTCCAAAGCACCCAAATTTATCATGTTCAATCTGGTTGCAACAATCCCCATCTACAATGTTTGGGTCATGGGATGTTATGTGATGTTAATATCATGTCCCCTGTGGCAGGCTGCGCTGGATTACAAGCACATCAATGATCGGTACCACAAGGGCAAACTGGCAATTGATGAATTCATGGCTGAAAAGCACCAATTCATGAGGGTGCAATCTTTGACGCTGGCGCATGCGGCCATAGTGCAGATTCAGGGCAAGATGGGCCCCAACGCGTTTCTCAGCACATTTTAAATTTATATGTTTAAATCCCCAAAAAATATGTCATAACATGTCACCATATATTTAGCATACCATGTTTAACCGAACCAAGCTAGGCTCACGATCCTGGTGGGGGATTTCACTCTGTGGCCTTCCAGTCCCTGTGATGATACTATTTTCAAGTTTTACTATTTTCAAGTTTTACTATTTGAGGTGGGGGATTTCACTCTGTGGCCATCCCCTGTGATGAATATTTTTGAAGCTGGCTTTTTCTGTATGTTTCAAACATTGACTCTACACCAGGACCACTGGCAGTGGATGAGTCGGTCACTCTGGCCCAAAGCGTTGGGACTGGAAACCCCAACACTCTCAGCTTTTGGCTTTTGCCGCAACCCCATGGAAATGCTGGCAAAGAAGCAACTTTGAAACACAGGCGCCTACTTGAGGACAAAATCATCAAGTGCCCAGTCTCAAAGTCATCATTTTCAAATTCTATTGGTGGAGTCTGGGGGGAGAAGATCAAACCATTTGAGCATATTTGAGCCCATCCGAACCAACCAAGGGCAATGGATTCCTATGAGATCTCTCTCAACTTCCAGGATCCCTTACACCAAGGAGACCGCCGGAAGAAGTCCCAACAGTGTCCCTTGATTGCATCCAAGTTAAACTAAGTTACCTTGTTTTTATTTTGCAATTGATTTCAGGTCAAGTTACATAACAATGTTTCCAAACCACACCGTTACCTCCCCGCATTCTCTGCAGGCCTGGCTGGCATCTGTGGAGGGCACAGCAACGTGTCCTTCATGAGGTCGAAAGCCTTGCTGGGAACAATCAGCAATGTCGAAAGAAGTCGAGTGGCGGATCTACAGAACCCGGACCCAGATCGCCAGCTCGCTCCCCATTGGAGAGTTCTTGGAAAGATCTTGATGTTTTCTTCAACCTATTTGTTTTATGATAAATGTTTCAAAATTACATCCAGTCATGGTGGGACCAATTCACAATCAGTAAGGTTCAACAGAGGGGCATCAATGCCACCAAAGAGGTGCTGCTTCAGCTGGTTGAAGGGATGAATGAGGGCGACAACCACAAACTCTTGGTGGTGGATCTTCATCCATCGCGGTTCTTTGTCCAAACATGTCCAAACTATAGTAAGTAAAGGATATTTCATGATATTTCAACCGTCAGTCAATACAAACTATAGGCTATTTCAACCCATCAAATGTTGAAGGGGCTTTGTGGTGCTCTGGAAACAAGTTCAACAACCCTGAGGTTCACTGAATGGTCGCAGGCATCATGGGAGCTGCAGCGAGACTACTTGCTTGGGGAGGATGGTGCTTCAAAGTGGGATGTCCACTTCATGTCCATCTACCATGACTCCGATGCCCAAATGTTGGACACCGCCAGCACTTTGATTGCAGGAAGGGCCTTGAACCAATGGTGGGACAAGGCTGATGGGTCAGGTCCAGCTTCGCGAGCGACTGAACCGTTTTTGGTGGAGCTACCAACCCTGGAATGCTTGGCTGTCAATGCCACTGAGCTGAAGCCACTTTGCCAACATATTATGTTTACAGCAGCTGTTTGCCAATCAAATTACCCCCAAAATTGTCCAATCAAATTTTGTAATAACATGATCATGGCTACCCATCCCATTGTGGGATATTCCATCTGAGGATTCCAGATATGGTGCGCCAAAAGTTTGCAGGATCTCACCAGGACCCCTTGGCCAAGCTGGACGAAGCTATCAGCCAAGAGACATCAGTCCAGAACGCCATCAAGATGACGCAGGCTCCGCCAGCTTCCTCAGGTGCTGGGAGTGGCCAAACCAGGACCATGGCAAGCCCACAGTGGGACAATGAAGCTCCAATCAATTGGCGCAAATCGTTGCCCTTGACCCCTGTTTCAACGGCTGACTTTGATGCCAACAACACGTTCCTTTGCAGATCTATGATCAAAAGATTCAGGTTTAAAAATGATGTCACAATGTTTTAGACTTTCCCTAACATTACCCAATCATTTAGTAATGTTTCATTCTGGTTCGATTAGGCCAGAGGGTGCCGCAGTCATTGCCCGGGAGCCGAACCTTAAGTTGGTATTGACGTCCCTGGGATCCCTCTGGATTGTCAACCGCAACACGCACTCCATCAATTTGGGCCCTGGAGAACTCTTTGGGTTCAACACTGGTAGCTACCTAGAGGTTCAGTCAGGACAAGGGCTCCAAACTGGTTCAGAACTTGTTTTTGTTGAATCCAAATCGGAAGTTATCTCTGTCCAAAACGCTTGACCCTGTTAGATTCATGCTCTACTTTGACGGGGAGCATACCCTGGAACATCAGTGACGACAAAACCATCATTTGCTATGTGGATAGCAGTGCAGCCACGGAAAAGACGATCATGACGCTGGCAGATGCTGTCTGCGAAGTGACACGCAAGCGTGGCATCACAGAGATCCGCATGACTGATCACGCCATGCGCCCAAAGATGAAGGCCAGGCTAGCTCATATGGTTTCACATAAAATCTCATTAAACATAAACTTCCATTGGGTAGTTAGCATGATATGAATATCAAATAATATCAACCTGTGATTTCGGGTTTAAGGGTGACAATGTATCTTGGCAGGTCGCCGCAGATGGATCCCAAATGCCTATGACGTTCAGATACGCTGTGGCTGCTGATCACAAAGTCAACGCATTTAAGGCGAAAGAGATCCCCCCAACTGACAGCAAACTCGATCTGCGCCCAGCAGTCTTCGGGGCTTTGTGGAGCAACAAGTTCAATCAGTTGCCACGGACTGATTATTGCAGTGTGGTGTGGGAGGCCCAGGGTTTGAACAAATGTTGATATTATATCAATCAAATTGAAGTCATCATATACTAAATCAAATACAATCAAATCATATTTGATTTCTATCAAGTTGATGTTCAAGATTGGGATCCATCAATCGCTCCCCACGATAAGTTGCCAAGCGTCAGCTGGACAATGGTAAGAACTGCAACCACAGCCTGGCAGGTGAAGGCCAGCGAGGGCATCCCATGCACACTCACCCCGATGAAGCCAAAGTATTTCTTGCTTGGGCAGCTTACCATTGCTGCCTCTTCGGCTGTAAAGCTGAAGTGATGCTGGGAGGACCCAGGATTCTCAGAGTGACTTGAAGGGTGGCTTCAAATTCTGGGAATTATATCACCATCAAACATCACCAAACAATAGCTTCGATTCATATGATTCATATGTCATTTTGTTTTCAAACCCTACTTCAAGGGGTGTCTCTGGCCACCTTTAATTGTGGGTGCACTCATGTTTTGTGCTTCGAAAGTGGAGCCCAAGATCATCGTTTCTTGTGATGGTTTGACAATCTGGGGATTCAGCGAGCTCAAAAAAGATCAAGACTGTTTTGCATTCACATGTGTTGGCCCTCCAAGGGGCATTGCAGTTCCCATTTAAGTTTTCTGATGTGGACACATGCATTCATAGACATAAACCAAATTAAACCAACGGATTTTATCGTGCATGTTTTCCAGGGTCAAAGTCGTAGGGGGGCTATGGCCTACGTGTTTCACAACCTGGTTCTTGAAGCCATGGTGTTAGCACCTGTGGATGCCTTGTCCGATGAAGAGCCGCGCCGAAACCAAAGCGCGGGTTCTCCCAACACTAGCGCGCAGCCAAAAGCCAAATCGGGTGCCAAGCCCGGTCCAAAAGCTAAATCAAAAGGCACGGGTTCAAAGGCACAGTCAAAAACAGCCAGTGGAAAAGCCAAAGCAAAGGCAAAGGCCAAGTCAGAGGAAAAGGCAAAGGACTATAAAAGTGATGAGGCCAATGTGAACGAAACACCGGAAGAAGAAGAAGAAGAAGAAGTGATTCCAAAAAAGAAACCAGCTTCCAATGCTCGATGTTTGAAGCGACCCGCTGCGTCTTCTGCTCCCAGCTCAGACACAAAGGTTCCAAAGAAGGATAAGAAGGTGTACAAGTACCGCTACAAGACCGGCAAATGGGCATTCAAAGTCAACGGCAAAGAAGTGATGGGTGTGTCTTGTCAAAACCAATCAAGATTATGTCAAACAGTGTTGCCTCTCAATGATTCAGGTTATATATATATATGTGATTCAAGTTAAGTCAAGTTATATATATATAATTATATTATGTATATATGTATATATGTGATTCAAGTTGTATATATATATATATATATATTATGTATATGTGATTCAAGTTGTATATATATATATATCTACATATGTGATTCAAGTTATATATATATATTATGTATATATGTATATATGTGATTCAAGTTAAATATATATAACCTGGCTCCCAATGACATATTGTATTGATATACTCCCATCACCTATCCCGTGACATCCCAGGTGAAGCCGGTGGAGGGCCTGAACGATGATGTCATGGAGACCATCGCGGACACATGGCTCTGGTTAGAATGGGTGGTGGATAAAAAAACTTGCAAGTCCCTATATGTTTAATCAAACATCTCAAAAAAACTCGCAATTCCAAAATATCTCAAACCAACCTTATACTTATCTTCACATGTGTTGCCCAGGATGCAGTGAAAGAAGAGTTGCTGCGCACTGATGGCGATGTCAAGAAAGGTCAAGACTTGGCCGTGGCTTGACCTTGTAATTCACATTGAGCCCCACATGTTTTCAATTCAAACAGTTCAAAGTCTCAATTTTTGATCTTTAAACCAGTGGAATGTCTCGATGGTTTTTGATGTTATAACCGTGATTTCATCCTACAATGCTTTCAGGACGCCATGATCGAGTCCTATCTCAAAAATGGAGAAGATGCTGTCGATGACGCCGCTCTTGATGCAGCTGCTGATGGCGCCGAAGCGGGCGAAGAAGAAGATGGAGAACATGATCCGGAAACTGAAAGCTGAGGCTCTTCAATATATACATAATATACTATTTGCAGTTGAGTTTACATTGTAAACTCACACATTCTCAAAAAAAAACATATTATATATATATATTATTTACTATATGTATGTGGGTGTTTCCAAAAAAGGGGTATTATTCACAGTATAGTAAATATCTATGTGTATGAGTATGTTTATATATCTATATATATATATGTTCACCCAACGACAGTTGTTATTCCCTCAGAGTTTCCCAAAATCTCTGCACAGAAAAGCGGTTAGCTAATGTTGCTCAACATCACACCATCATTCCTTCTGTCAACCCTTCAACTTTCAACCCTGACAGGTCAACCTACAAGCTTCTGAGAGTTTGGCTAGTTTTGATGCGTTGGCACACGGGGGGTGACTGCATTTTTTGCGGTATGGAAATGGATCTGAAGATTCAGAGTTTTGACAAAATGTCAGCAATGACTTGCAGCTGCTTAAAATGACAAAATGTCACCGGTTAAGAAATCAGGAGGCATCGCGTTTAAAAAATGTGTTCACACGCTTTCACTGATTGGTAAAAATGAGGATGAACTACATGGTGTTGAAGTGTTATGAAATTAATGCAGTTTTTGGCAATGATTCAATGCAGTTTTTGGCACAGCAGCAAGCCAAACAAATCCTGCGCCGCAAACAACAAATGGCTACGCTTTTTTGGCTGGGCACCTCGATTCATTATGTTACTGCAAAAAATTGATACACATGCCCAAACTGATAACTGAAAAAAAATGCATGCCTAGGCGTTGATGAGTGGGATGGTGGATGCCTACCAGCTAGCAAATATGAGTTTTCCAACCCCGAGACTTCTGAGTGGAAAGCGTTGGATGATTCTGATGACGAATCAGTCCATGAAATTATGAGGTGGGTATATCGCTCCAAGGTACTTAAAGTGCCGGGCTGTGACATATTTTTTGAAGAAGAACTGCGCTTCCACATTCTTTCTTGCCAGCTGGACACTTCGGAGATTTGGTCTTGCAAAGTGACAGTTTTTGATGTAAGGTGCCAGGAAGAGCGCCTGTTTCACTTTCGTTTGCGCTAGGAATGCGGCTACGCAAAGACATCGCTGCGCTCTGTTTGGGGAAAACAAAAATGGCACTGGGTTCACAAATGCGGACAAACCACAAACTGCACGCGCATGTTGTGACAACAGAGTTCATACATCCTCTATCTCAAACCAAGCATATATGTATATGTTCACATGTATATATATATATATACCATAGTCCACTATGGTCTACATGTAGGCACCCATATTCTTATATATATATACATAAATATAACTATAAGTATATATATATATATCATCGCATACCCACACATATATATATATATATATCTATATGTATATATATATATGTATATCTATATATGTATATATATATATTTACATATATATATATATGTACATATATATAACATATGTGTATATATGTACATATATATATATATGTATATGTATATATGTATTGTGGCTCAAATCGCTGTGTGGCAACATATGTCAGCTACTTACAAAAACTGACCTTAGCAGTGGCTCATGTCTAGCGCTGGTGAAGAACTGACCTTAGCAGTGGCTCATGTCTAGCGCTGGTGAAGAACTGACCTTAGCAGTGGCTCATGTCTAGCGCTGGTGAAGAACTGATCTTAGCAGTGGTTCATGTCTAGCGCTGGTGTTAGTGGAACAATCATGTTACCATGGCTGCACCTTACTAACCGTCATGATGTTGGCAGTGGCTGCCTGCTGACAGCTGGGCTGCATGCATGTGGTCCAAATACCAAAACCCTTGATGTGGAACTAACCCCTGATCCAAAGGAACATCCTGTGTAGGTGAAACGAAAAGTGAAGTTCGAATCTGGCGTAAGGTTCAAATATCATGAGCATGCAGCAGTTCCCAAACCTTTTGAGGAAGAAGTGGCATCAATACCGAATGTCGGGAGAAGCATTGTTACTCCAAAATGATCGGGCAGGGCCACTAGGCTCACTGTATCGCAGTCGTAGAATAGTCGATACTTGTTCCGGTGCTCCTCAGAGGTAAAGAGTTCACCAACGAGATTTGGAGTGATACGTCGAGTGTCGAGAACGGGGTCGGCCTTCACGGTGCTGGTCTCGAGAGTGGCCTTCATGATAGGAGGAGCGGCGATCTCGGCGGCTGTAGGTTGAATTGTCCCAAGGGGCAGTGTCGTGCCAAGATCGGCGAGCATGATCTCGAGAACCAGAAGCAGCTGTCTCGTGGTGGCCAGGTGTATCTCGAGAGTCGTCCGGAGGTGGTTCCAAAAGTTCTGGGGCATTGGCAGGAGGGTCAGGTCGTACTGGACGTGCATGATCATCAGGATGTTCCGTGGGTGCATTGGTCTCCGCCGTCTGGTGTGTGATCAAGCCCGGGAAAACCGAGTGAGTGGAGGCGACGTAGCATATGGATGCGGCGCTGGAGTTCATAGCCGTTGCATTGTCTTTGCCCTTGGCTATGCCCGCAAGGTTGCACAAGCGTTGAATTTGGTCATTTCCTCCAGCTAGGGCACGGATGCATTTGGGTGAGCGGCAAATGGCCAGCAGGCCTGATGGGTTTTGTCCTTTGCCAATTTTGTAGAGCTGAGAGGTACAGATCTTGACAGCATAGCCGGGTAGGTTGTCGATGTCCGCGATCTCAGAGGACATACCGAAGAATCCGTAACATGGGTATTGAGTCGGCATGCCGGCTTCGTTTTTTGTCCAAGTTGCCGGGCGAATGCAGTCTTCCGCGAGAATTTTGGCAACTGTTTCCCAACTCGTTTTGTGATAGATCAGGTAGGTGCCCATGTGTTCGCCACGATAGATTGGTTTCTTTTTCAATCCTGTGGGCACCGTGATGGTCAGCAGGTTCTCTGGCTCGATGTAGAAGGCTTGTGTTTGCCTCGCAAGCTCGATGTCCAGTAAGTTGGATTGTGCAAAGGC